TAACATTTACTATAATAACATTAATTTAATGATAAAGGTGTCCATCATTTTATTAAAAGTCGAATGTTCAATATTTATCATGCATGTAGTCATTAGTGTCTTGATAAATAATAATAATAATAATAATAATAATAATAATAATAATAATAATAATGACTGAGCTAACGTAATAAAACATGCATAATTCTTTAATTTAAGAAGACTTAATAGTGTGTTTGTTTAGTGAAGTGATTGGAAAAGAAATTTGTTATGTGAGTATTGAAAATCGTATAAATAATTTAAAATTAATAAATATGTATAATGTATTAATTTTTTGGAAAAAAAAAAACGCACCTTTATAATTTCATAAATTAAAGTAAGATTTTGTTTGCTTTGATTTTCATTTTTTATTAAATATATATATATATTTATAAAATAATGCATTCAATTTATAATTTTAAAAACATTAAATAATAATAATAATAATAATATTAGTACAAAATAAACACCCTGTAAATTTGGCTTACAAAACTCATTGTTGAAATTGGAAAAAACACACATCTATATATATATATATATATATATAGTCAGGTAGGGTGGTCAAGTTTTCTGATTTGATTGAGCTAACACAATAATTTGAAGCAATTAATATTTTATTATAAAATATATATCATATGTTGTGTTATATATAAATATGTGTCTGCATTAGTTATATAAGAGTACTATGCTATACTGTATAATCTGTTTATTAAACATAAATTAAAATATATTGTGTTATATGAAATTATATAATAGTTTCAAAATATATACTTCTTCCGTCCCAATACAATAGTCTTGTTTACTATTTTTATTCGTCTCAAAACAATAGTCTTATTTTCATAAATAACCATATCACCATAAAACTACCCCTATTTTTTTTTTTTTATTACATAATTGCCATTACTTTTTACACTAATACACTTACAAAGGCAAAAAAGTCTTTTATCCATATTTCTTACCTACTACCAATATAATATCAATATTCTTTAAATCTCGTGTTCAACCCAATTAAGACTATAATTTTGAAACGGAAAGAATATTATATATTATATTAATATGTGTTGTTGGATATATGATCTCCTTTATATATCAATATGTGTTGATAAGATCAAATTAGCAGCATAATAACTAAAGTGATTTATATATATATAAATGATTCAAACCTAATTATACCCAATATTACAAGCACAACTAAAATCAACTGTCGTGTCAAATTAATTTTCAAAATTATTTAAGGTATGTTTACTTGTGAAATTTTGATTATGAATTACTATTTCAATAATTTTTTCTCTTAAAAAATATTAAATTAAACACTTATTTTTTATTTATTATATTTCACTAAAATTTAATTTAACATTCAAAACATCACATCAATATATATTTAAATCACATCAAATAACTATTTCAATTTAAAATTTTACTGTTCAAAACCAAAATCCAAAATCAAAATCTCACAAATAAACACACCTCAGAAATACTTATATACTTACACTACTAGAAAAAGGGTTGATAACTGCGAAAATTTGTCGCAAATTTTAATCCACGACAATTAAAAGTCACGGAAAGTAATTTCGTGACAATTTTATGTCACAACTTTTTGCTTTGACTATTCCGTAAGTAATATTTGCAGAAAAAGTTACAAACAACTTTCCGTGACTATTTAAAGTAACGACTTATGTAACGAAAATGTCCAAGATATTTCTATTCCGTGTCTTTTGACTATTTCGTCACAAAAATTGTCACGAAATTTTTTCTTGACTATTTTAAGTTGCGGCAAAAATAACCAAAATATTTGCAACATTTTAAATTATTACAGATATTGTTATGGTATAATTTCCGTGACTTTTTAAAATCAAATGTCACAACATAAGTAACGAAAACAACTATAAATTTTTCTTATTATCGTTCGTAGCTATTTAAAATAATAACAAAATAATAAAATCATCTTCAATATCTTTATTTATTTTTACTTGTATTGTAATTGAATAATTTTTTTTTAACTATTCATCACTGCTTAAAATTTAGTACTAGAATATTAGCAAAATCTTAATATATATTTATTTAAGTTATTGTAAATATTAACATAAGCCAATATTTAACTATTTATAGTTACCATATCGATAATATTTTTAAATATATTGTTAATTTTGAAAATTTATATGATACATTTTTTTAAACAAAATGATTGAGTCTAAAAAAATAAAAATAAATAATTTATTGACAATAGATGAAATTAAAAAACTCTAATACTAAAAATATACTATATGTTAAATAAATTTAATAATTTTTTATATTAATAGACAAACTTTAATTTTTTGTTGAAAATTCATGATGATATATTAAATAAATATTTATATTTTGTTAAAATATAAATTTATAACCAATAATATTTTTATAGTTAAAATATAATAACAAACAAAAATTAATACTTTAGAGTAAATAACTAAGTTGACATGAGAGATTGTGTAAGTCTTTAATAACTAATAAGGTCACTAGTTCGAACCCTTAGATTCGAGTTGCACATATTAAATTAAAAAATAACTTGCGTGATTGCATTGAACAAAAATTATAATATAATTATTTTTTTTTTCAAAAATATAAAGTCACGAAATTGTTACAATTTTCGTTAATATAAAGTCACGGAGGTGTAATTGTATTATTTTGTAACTTATTGTCACGAAAATGTCACAATTATAAAATATTCACGAAATTTTATTGCAGCTTCTGTTGCTATATAAAGTCACGGACATGTAATGGTATTATTCTATAACTTATTGTCACATAAATGTCACAACTTAAGAAAAAGTCACCAGCAAAATTCCATGGAACTGGTTCCGTATATTTTTCCTTGACTTTTTAGTAAAAAGTCACAAATTTGTATTAAAACCGTGACTATTTTTACCGTAACTATAGTCTAATTTTCTGGTAGTGTTATATGTTATGTATATACAGTGAAAATATTAAAGTGAAATATATTTTGTTTAACTTTTTTTTATTTTTTATTTTTTTTATTTTTATGTGGCGTAAATCAGTACAATTTTTTTTTTTAATAGAAAATGTATTTTTAATGTAACATTAAAATAATAATTATTTTGCGAGAAGATTTTAAAGAAATATATATATACATACAAAAGTTCAAACAAACACACTAATGGGCATCGTGTCGTAACAAATTTTGGGAAAGAAGAATTTATTGAAAAAAATATATGGACGGTTAGGTTGCTTTTATGGCTAAAATTGTTCTTCAAATAACTTTTACTTTTCGTGTACAATTATTTAATTAACAATTAATATATTAAATAAATCCATAAAAGGCCAAATTAATTAATTAATTAATGAATTAAATAAATAATTGGTTGAACGCATACGTGCCCTTTTAAGTTCTCAAAATTGTATGATTGATTAACAAAATTGCACTTTGATAATATATATATATATAATTATTATTTTTATCTTAGAATGTTATAATCATTTGTCCTAAAAATAAAATATTATGTTTTTAGTTTATAATTTTGTAACGTATATTATGATAGTTTTAAATTTATATATATATATATATTTTTTTTCTCTATACTAAATTTTGGATTGAAAATGATGTTTTATGAAAGGAAGTGACATATTTTATAGAAATTTGTATGAATTATATAATAAAAAAAATTGAAATAAAAATTCAAGATAAATAAAACCTAATATATATAATCATGTGAGAACTTACAAACTAAAATATCTCAATAAAAATTTATAAAGCAAGAGTGGTGATCAAACATAAAAATTGCAAATCTTATCTACAGTTAATTATCATTCTTATTTTGCATATTTAATTTGTTCGACTATATATATATATATATATATTCTGATCGTGTACATTATATAAATGGATTATAAAAATAGATGAAAGAAAAATGGTTTAATTTTTCATGTTTTTTTATTACATAAATTTTCATAAATATTATGAAAAAAAATATAAGATATACATATAATATATAATCTACATACTTTATTCATTAAAATAATTAATAATTTAATATAAATTATTATTATTATTTTTTTATATTATCGATACAATTCTCATTCCTACAAAAAATACATCTATTAAAAAATACAAAATGAAACGCACCCAAAATGTAAGAAAACACAACTAATTTTATAATAATTCATCCGTCCGCCTCTAAGGGTCACATTTATCTTTTGCGTTATTGTACTTAACATTAGAAATATCGTTATATTTGTATAATATTTTGTACAAATGTCATTCTATTAGTATTATAAGACACTAATGGAAGTATTTTTGCAATTTGTTTTAAATTTGTATTACATTTTGATATAAAAATTAATATTTAAATATCAACACGTAAAAAATAAACGAGACCCTTAGAGTCGGATGGATGGAGGTATTATTATGTTTTCATTTATAAAATACAAAACCAACAAAATATGTAAAAAATAAGAGATAATTAGTTATGAATATAAAACCAAATTTATAATTAAATTAACAAAAATATACTTTTTCCGTCCCACTACAATAGTCCTGTTTACCATTTTTGTTTGTCCCAAAGCTATAGTCTCATTTCCATAAATAACCATATCACTATAAAATTATCCGTATTTTTTCATTATTATTACACAATTGCCACTATTTTTTACACTAATACACTCACAAAGGCAAAAAAGTTTTTTACTCGTACTTTTTACTCACTACTAATATAATATCAATATTTCTTAAATTCCGTGTTAAATACAACCCAGAGTATAGTTATGAGATGGAGGGAGTATATTTTTGTTAAAAGAGGCCCTCCCATCTCTCTCACTCCTTAATGAATTCAAGAGTGAGAAGATTCTTGTAGTTTCTTCAAACCCCACCTCCATTATTGTCTCTCTTCCACAAATTCACACACACATGTATCTATCTATCTATCTCTATCTATATATACATATGTGTATGTATAAGTATATATATATTAATACATACATGTATGGGTATATATAGCTCCCCATTGAACAAGCTTCAAAAAAGTTCAATTAGTATATGTATATACATTCTTTGATACCAAAGAAGAATCCAAATTAACTAATTAAAGTTATATAAATTTAGAGAGAGAGAGAGAGAGAGAGAATTTAGAGTGAGAGAGAGAGAGAGATGGGAGTTTCGGGAACAATGGAGTATTTGTCGGAGCTGTTGAGCAGCAAGACGAAGAAGAAGAAGAAAAAACAGTTAAATACGGTGGCCGTTAAGATAAGAATGGATTGCGACGGCTGCGCTCTTAAGGTCAAGAAAGCCCTCTCCGGCGTCAAAGGTAACTCGCTGGATCATACCTTGTCGGCCGGAGATTTTTTGTTTTTAACTTTCTACTATGATCCGTTTTCTATAAAAATATACTATTAATTTTTAATAAAAATATTATATTTCCTTCGTCTCATATCTATCTATCCGTTTACTTTTTGTATGGAGTTTTGAAAATATTAGTATCATATTGGAATGTAGTAGAAATAAAGGTAAAACGACTAAACTAATCTTATTAGTATAGTATGATATAAAAGAAATGACATTTGTGTAATATATTATAAATTAGAAGGGTATTTGTAATGTTAGATATATAATATAATTACTAAAAAAAAATTGATATTCTGTTATGTGAGGGACCAAAATAAAAAAATAGATAAATTGTTAAGGGACTCCGAGTATTCAGTATGTGTTTCATTCGAAAAATCAAAATAAAAATACTAAGTGAATTGTGTTTGTTCTGAAAGAATATATATTAACGGTACATAGAATTGTATATGTAATATAAAAATAACAAGTATGTAGAGTATATTATTTTTTTGAAAAAAATATGTTAAAGTTTGGATAAAAGAACAAAGCCATTGTATAATGTTATTGTTGTTTTTTTTTTGGATTCCCAAACCGTTACTAGTAATATACAAGTTTGTTCACACAATTTTTTTTTTCCGACATGATTTCTAATATATAATTTATCATTTCAAAAAGTCAATATTCAACATAAAATATTCTTTTTTATATTACCGACACAATTCTCTATAACTCATATAAAAAAAATTTCACATAAAAACACTAAACAAACAAAGCCACGATTGTTTTTAGTTTTCCTTGATTTAATTTTTTTAGGTCAAAATAATAACTATATATATATTTAAAATAATAAATTGAATAGCAAAACAAATTAAAATCAAAACTATATATAAAAAAATACTTCCGGTGTGTTTGTGGGTTTAAAAAGTTGAATTTGAATAATTATTTGATGTGATATAAATAGAGATTAATGTGATATTTTGAATATAAAATAAATTTTAATATAGCATAAAAAAAAATAATTGTTTGATATAATATTTATTTAGGGAAATAAGAACCTGAATAGTAAAAATTATGGTAAAACCCACAAAAGAACACGATATTCAATTTTACTTCATTTCATATATAATTCTCATCTCAAAATTCTCTATATATATTATATTTACATCGTAAAAATTTATAGCATCGAAATTACATGGGCCGGTTTGATATGTATACGAATAATTTCAAAAATAAAATAGGGGCGAAATCGGTGGATGTGGACTTGAAGCAACAAAAGGCGACGGTCCACGGATTTGTGGATGCGAAAAAGGTTTTGGCCGCGGCAAAAGAGACCGGGAAAAAAGTGGAGCCATGGCCTTATGTGCCTTACACGATGGTGGCGCACCCGTACGTGGCCGGGGTTTATGACAAGAAGGCACCGCCAAATTTTGTTCGGGCATCAACAGATCCTACCATAGTCAACCTCGACCCGGTCGAAGAACAATACACGCTCATGTTTAGTGATGAAAATCCCAATTCTTGCTCGATTATGTAGCTGTTCGTTATACCGGTTATTTTTCTATCGTTTTTTTTTTCTTTATTTTAATTTGCTCTTTTAAAAAAATAAAAAACAAAAAACAAAGAAAATCGTATATAAATGTTGTATATATATATATATGGAAGAGGAATGTTATGTGTAATGTAATGTTTTTAGAAAGTATGGTCTTTTCAAAGAAGGAAATTGAATAATTGAATAATTAAAAGTTGATTAATAAATTATACCAAACAATTATTTTTATTAGTTATTTCAAAACTAGTAAAATAAAAATACAAAAAAAAAAACCCATTATTTTTATACTTCCTTCGTCCCGCTATAAATGACCCCATTTTTTTTGGTATATCCCACAAAAGATGATCCCTTTCCATATTTGGCAAGTTTATCAATCTTGAACATACTTAACCAATATAAATCAATTTAATTAAACTTCTAACATCTTATACGTAGGATCCACTCAAAATTCCTTTATTTCTGTATCTCTCATCAATTAACAAATATTTTAATCTACCTTTAAAACTTCTCATTTTTTTAAAACTAATTTATGATAGTGATAAATAAATAAATATATTTTTTTATTCATTTGTATTATATAAAATTTTATTGTCTACAAAATGATATAATTGTAAAAGTACTTAAAATACCAACAACATTACACATATAAAAAATAATAAAATATTATCTTAGCTTATTATTAATAACTTAATAAACTATACTATCTAAAATACCGTATCCTTAACAAAAGGTTTTCATCCTCCGCAGGACGGAGGAAATATTTTTTATATAAAATTATTAACTTCTTCAACATTTTTAAGAATAAAAATATACAAAAATATATTTGAAAACATGCATACAAATTCAAGATTTATTTACTTCAAAAGTTACTATTGGGCATCAAATGTAAAAGGCTATATTATGATCACTCAGAGCGAACACAACGATTAAAAAAAAAAAAAAATCCTTCTAGAATTGACATGTTTAGTTATTCAAATTTGTCTCTATCCTAATAAATCAAAATCATGCACAGTGGCTCGTAACTGCCGTGAAGTCACGTGTTCATACCTCCGACGCTTCATGTCACCTGCCATACATGATTCATCTAATGTGTTTTGCGTGTCGATCCTTAATTTGCAGGGTATTAGAATCGGCTAAGAATTTATCCAGTGCGCACTTTCGTAGTAATTGCGTGTTCCCACACCATAAAAAATAATAAAATAATAATAATAAATAAACAAATATATAATAAATATTTAAGTACTTTAAAAAATTACTATATACAATGGCATATATTCAATATGTATACATATATTTGTAGATAATAAAAGTTTATATAATATAAATAAATTAAATATATGTGATTAATATACATTGATTTTATAAAAATTAAAATTTTTTAAACATATATTTATAAATATAATAATTTATAGAGGAGAGAAATTAAAAGAAATGATTACAAATGAGTCCTACTTTGAAAAACTTTTGAAAGAAAATTGGGAGTACATTTGGAAGATGGAAAACTTGTGTCTCTATTACTATTATTTATTAAACCCAATTAGCTTGGGGCTTTGGGCCCAAATATTTAAATCTTACTCCGTCGAACTTTCCGGCAGATAAAAGTGTCAAAAATAGCCTTACGGCGTATAAGGCAGCATCCATGCAGGGCATGCAAAACAAACATAATTAAAACCCTTTGCACATAAATGGTATCGAGTGTCCCTAAAATCTGAAATTAAATTGCCCATCCAATTTCTTTTGTGTTTTGTGCTCACCAGCTGAGAGAGAAACAAACAATGTTGATGTCAAAATAAAATATTATATTTTTATAGAATCAATAAAATATAATTTAAATATAAATATATATATATATATAATATTAAAAAAAAAGAAATTATTTTTTTATTAGGTAGGAGGGTACAATGGTAAAATGTGAAATTTAAATAAGGTAAATTTTTAAATAAATTTTAAAAAAAGTTAAAATTATGGTAAAAAATTTTAAATAAGGTAAGTTTTTAAATAAATTTTAAAAAAGTTTAAATAAGGTAAGTTTTCAAATAAATATAAAAAAAGTTAAAATTATGGTAAAAAATTAAATAAGGTAAGTTTTCAAATAAATTTTTTTAAAAAAAATTCAAATAAGTTATGGTAAGATATTAAATAAGGTAAGTTTTCAAATAAATTTTAAAAAAAGTTAAATAAAGTAAGTTTTCAAATAAATTTAAAAAAAGTTAAATAAGGAAAGTAGTCGTTATTAGATTTAAATAAGAAAAGTAGCCGTTATTAGATTTAAATAAGGTAAGTAGCCGTTATTATAATTAAATAAGGTACATTTTCAAATAAATTTAAAAAAAAAGTTAAATAAGGTAAGTTTTCAAATAAATTTAAAAAAAATTAAATAAGGTAAGTTTTCAAATAAATTTAAAAAAGCTAAATAAGGTAAGTAGCCGTTATTAAATTTAAATAAGATAAGTAGCCGTTATTAGATTTAAATAAAGTAAGTTTTCAAATAAATTTTAAAAAAAGATAAATAAGGTAAGTAGCCGTTATTATAATTAAATAAGGTAAGTTTTCAAATAAATTTAAAAAAAACTAAATAAGGAAAGTAGCTGTTAACCCTTACATTATAAATATTCATGATTTTGGGACAATGGGGTACGAGTTGGTCTTGGAGCAGGCAGGGCAGGGGGGGTGCGGTGGGGAGGAATGAATTACAAAGAGGCAGGGGTGGGGGGGTTGGGGTGGGGAGGAATGAATTACAAAGAGGCAGGGGTGGGGGGGGTTGGGGTGGGGAGGAATGAATTACAAAGAGGCAGGGGTGGGGTACGAGTTGGCCTTGGAGCAGGGCAAGGCAGGGGTGGGGAGGAATGAATTACGAAGAGGTGGGGGTGGGGCTGCTTACAGGACAGGGCGAGGGTCAAGTGTTCTTGGATCTCGATCGAAGCAATCTTGGTGAGTCATTTCTGATTCTTTTAATTCTCCATGTACTGCCCTTATGCGAGTTTGAGTTCTTACGATTGCTTATCATTTTGCATCGATCGATCCTTCCTGTTTTAAGATCAAGAAGCTGCTTTGGCTGTTCCGGAAACCATAAATGGTAATTTGAATTTCAATCTCTGATTTAATATATTACTCAAGATTTTAATATGAAAGTTTGTTTATCTTGATTGACTAATTAGACCATACATACCTCATTTGAAATCATGTAATTTCTTAAGTTATTCGGTATTATTATTCTTCAACTTGTTGATATATTATTGTTCATTATGTTCTAGGCTATTAGATGCACAAGGTAACGCGAGGATCCGCGAATATCCTTCGAACTCGAAGGATATCCTATAACAGGGAGTGTCTCCTACTTTTTCTTTTAATTTACGCTTTCCATTTATTTTATTTTCTTGCATATCCCGGGACTTGCATGCATTAATTTTGTTCCTAAATTTTATACTAACTTGTTTTTTAAGTGTTTTTATTTTGTAGGTAAAGCTTATGGGAGGCGAGAGGATCCGCGAATATCCTTCGAACTCGAAGGATATCCCATCATAGGGAGTATCTCCTACTTTTTCTTTTAAGTTACGCTTTCCATTTATTTTATTTTCTTGCATATCCCGGGACTTGCATGCATTAATTTTGTTCCTAAATTTTATACTAACTTGTTTTTTAAGTGTTTTTATTTTGTAGGTAAAGCTTATGGGAGGCGAGAGGATCCGCGAATATCCTTCGAACTCGAAGGATATCCCATCATAGGGAGTATCTCCTACTTTTTCTTTTAAGTTACGCTTTCCATTTATTTTATTTTCTTGCATATCCCGGGACTTGCATGCATTAATTTTGTTCCTAAATTTTATACTAACTTGTTTTTTAAGTGTTTTTATTTTGTAGGTAAAGCTTATGGGAGGCGAGAGGATCCGCGAATATCCTTCGAACTCGAAGGATATCCCATCATAGGGAGTATCTCCTACTTTTTCTTTTAATTTACGTTTTCCATTTATTTTATTTTCTTGCATATCCCGGGACTTGCATGCATTAATTTTGTTCCTAAATTTTATACTAACTTGTTTTTTAAGTGTTTTTATTTTGTAGGTAAAGCTTATGGGAGGCGAGAGGATCCGCGAATATCCTTCGAACTCGAAGGATATCCCATCATAGGGAGTATCTCCTACTTTTTCTTTTAATTTACGCTTTCCATTTATTTTATTTTCTTGCATATCCCGGGACTTGCATGCATTAATTTTGTTCCTAAATTTTATACTAACTTGTTTTTTAAGTGTTTTTATTTTGTAGGTAAAGCTTATGGGAGGCGAGAGGATCCGCGAATATCCTTCGAACTCGAAGGATATCCCATCATAGGGAGTATCTCCTACTTTTTCTTTTAAGTTACGCTTTCCATTTATTTTATTTTCTTGCATATCCCGGGACTTGCATGCATTAATTTTGTTCCTAAATTTTATACTAACTTGTTTTTTAAGTGTTTTTATTTTGTAGGTAAAGCTTATGGGAGGCGAGAGGATCCGCGAATATCCTTCGAACTCGAAGGATATCCCATCATAGGGAGTATCTCCTACTTTTTCTTTTAAGTTACGCTTTCCATTTATTTTATTTTCTTGCATATCCCGGGACTTGCATGCATTAATTTTGTTCCTAAATTTTATACCAACTTGTTTTTTAGACTAATATAACTTATTTTCTAATAAAAAAAAATAAAAAACTTAATTAAAACTTAATATTAAAAATGTGGGCGGGCATAGCCCGGTATTATTTGAAACCGGGCCATGCCTTTGTTTGGGTTTTCAAGCCCAATCCAGAATCAGGTCGGGCCTATCGGGCTTGAATTTTAAAACAACTTGAGATAAACCAAAAAATATTACTCTCTCCCTCGCAAAAAATGTACAAATTTTTTGCGTGTCGGAATGAGTAACATCAACCTGAAATTGCCATATTTTTTTTTTTTTTGCTAAATATGATGTAAACTTTCTCAAATTATAGAAGCAACATACCTTAAAATTTGAATCCACCGATATGCTGAAGAATCAACTTC